GGATGCTCGGCTATGATGGGAAAATGCTTTTGAAAGGCAGGAGGCGCCTCTGACAGGTGATTGTTGGGACACACTGGAATGTGCTTTGGATATGTGGCGAAAAGATGAGGCCTTTCCAGACACATGGGATGGAGCCACATGTGATCGTTGGGATGGTGCATGTGAATGGCAGGAAACTTCGGACTTGGCTCTGTTGACCGGTCTGCCTCTCTGATGAGGCTTGGGCTGTGGGGGACCCTGTGAGCTCTCTAGAAATTTCTTGCGTTCCTTGTTTAGTAGCTTGAGGCTTTGCATCTCGCTATTGACTCTTGAGTCTCTTAATTGTTCCTGAATGTCCTTGAGTTGCCGTTCAGAGTCCATCCATTGCACATAGGCATCTTCCTTATCTCCTTCCACTGCTTGCGCATGTTCTGCGGAGAGTTCCTCCTTCTGTTCGTAGTAGAGTTTGTACAGTCTCTCCCAGCCTCTTTCATGGCGCCTGTGGATGGTGTGCCATTTCTCCATCAGATGTGAGTGCATGGCTGCTGTGGGCTTTCTTTGTTGTCTTAGATCGTATTTACCCTGAGACGTTTTTGGTTTTGTTGAGGCTTGAGCTTCAGCCTCTGTGTGCAGGTCAAGGTTGGCTGTTGGCAGCATTTCTCCTTGGCCGGCTGGTTGGTGTATTTCAACTAGGCTGGTTGGTTGAACCCCCTCTGCTAGACCAGTGGGACACTCTGCCATGGCTAGGGTAGGTTCAGTGTTCTTCTCAGCTATTTTGAAGCGAATTTGAAGAACTTCTCTCTTTGACCACTAGGGGTTGCTACTTGTAGATCAGCTTCAGAGGTGCTGTCTGTGGGTGGAGATGCCACTGGGTGCGTTCTCCTGCGTTTGTGGGTACTTCAGTGCAGTTCACCCCTTCACCACTAGGGGTCACTTGCTGCGGATCAGCTACCAGGGTGCTCTTCCTTCGAGGTTCATCCTTAGTCCACTAGAGGGCTGGCTCTGGGCGTGATTAAAGGCTTCCGTGTAGTTCCCCTTTAACCACTAGGGGGCGTCTGAAGAAAGGACAGCCAAATTCTTTGGCAAGGACGCTTGGTTTTGCTTTCTTCTACCTAAATTCTCTCAAACTGGAACAACTTGGTCTTCAGCTTGAGTGAGTGAGTAATTTGGCGAAGTTCACTCTGTGCCCTCTAGGGGGTGTCTGAAGAAAGGCCAGCCAAATTCTTCCTATTACCACGTTACTGCTTGTGGCCACTGGGAGAGTGTAGAGCTACCAAACTCCCACCTGGCCGTTAAGTTGCAGGCTGGAACATTGGGTCATCAGCTGTGATAATAAGCAAGGACACTTGGCTTCGCTTTCTTCTGCTAACTTCTCTCAAACTGGAAAAACTTGGTCTTCAGCTTGAGTAAGTACTTTTGGTAAGTTCACTATGTGCCCTCTAGGGGGTGTTGCTGCGATGCTATTGGGACCTCTGAACACCATCTCCTATTGGCATTGTTGAAATTCCAAAGGGTGGCTGAGTGAAGAGGTTGATTGCCTTTTTATTGCTCTCCTTAATGACAGCCGTAGGTTTGGTTGCTAAGGCAACAAATGGCTTTATTGCCTGTTGTTGGGGCCAGAAAGAAAGGGGGAGTTGTCCTTTCTGAGCATTAAACAAAGACCACAGAAATTTGCTAAGGTTTGAATTTTCTAGCCGAGGAACTTTTCTAGCCTGCTCCGTTCGTTTAAAAAGGATCAGACTCACACATATCAAAGCATCCCAAAACAAGCTAATTGAATCCATGTGCTAACATCAAAACTCTTCAAGGCTTACTGGCTCCCTCGCTTTAGAGGCATACTGAGTTGAGTTCACAGACAATCTTTTGCAAGCATCCCACATTTCCTCAAAACGTTTTGCCTCGGCGGGGGAAGGGAGAAAGGGGGCTGCTGCTTGGAATTCCTTTGATCCTTTCAAGTGTGAAAAGCCACAGAGAGAGCAGAGCTGAAACGCTGTCTGCCTTTACAAAGCTGATATGAACTCTGAGCATTCATTTACTTGCAAGAGAATCTTTACTTTACTTCCTTAAGGGTGATGTAGAGAAGGCTAACAAATTTACTTTTCTGCTTTCAAACTGTTGCAGGAGATCAGAGGAGAATTAATCTTTATCAATTTACTATTTGCCTTTACAAAGCTGGCATGAATTATGAGCATACTTTTACTATTCTGACTCTGATATAAAACACCTTCTTTAAATCAAGTCAGATAGATAACTCAAAAGAAACGATCTCATAATAAACAAAAATATATTTTAATCAGAAAGATTACTTGCATTCACGCTGTGGTTGATACTCCTGGAAAATACATCTGTGTCCATTTCTTCAGACCATATCTTTAGGTAAAAGTATGATGCTCTCTTCCATACCATCTTTATAACAACTCAAGCTCATTGTGTGGCCTTCGATGGCCCATGCTTCTTTCAGACAAAGAGATTCCACCCTGGCTTGTGTCCAGGAAGTCTCCCAATGACCTTTTGAGACTCCTCCCACTGACCTATCAACATACCTAGCATTTAACCCAATAACTGCCAGATATTCTCATATACTGATACCTGCTCTATAGTTAGGGTTACATACGTTCCAGAATAGTAATCTTCAAACAAAGTAAAGATGTCTGGCCAGTCAGCCAAGTGTCTTGGCACTAAGCCAAACACCACAGCTGTATCAACAGAGATAATGATAGTGTAGCAAAAAGAGATAATGTGGCAAGAGAACAAAAAGAATACATTGCAAAAATAACCACCAGGGGACACTGTTTTTTCCCTCACCGTTTACTTAGGGAGAAAGTAAAAAAAGTAAAAAAAGAGAAAGTTCCGTGAGACAATACACAAAGTTAACGATCCAAAAACGTTTTCAGAAAGAGCAGTTAAGGTGGCTTTTCCCCATTAAAATAATAATAATAGGTCTTTCTTCTCTATAATGAGACAAGCTGGTTCCTTCAATGTAGCTTCAATTCAAAGAACTTTCAGAACCTTTTAAAATGCTGAAACCGCCGCTTTTTGGGAGCAAAAAATCCCCCTCCTCCTCCTCCCTTTAGGCTTCCAGCTTATCTTTAAAGGCAGGAAATTTTTTTAAAGGTCCACTTTGCATCAAAAACTACTGTCATCTCACCCGGATCAGTTGCTTGTTTCCTTAAACAGCTGGCTCCTGTCCCCGATGATCTGTTGAAGATGGCGGCAGATGCGAAGCTCTCTGCCTTTCTCTCACCAGTTCCAGAGGCAACTTTGAGTTCGGGGAGCTGGCTACCACCAGCTCCCTTTCCTCAAAGAGTTCACCTCTAGGTGGTCACCTCTTCAGGGTGGCATTCAGCCCTAATGGGCCCACCAGCGATAGAAATTCAGACCCTGGGCATGGAGAGTTGTGTCCCAGGGTCTAGGACCAACGACGTCATCCAGGAACTCCCACAAAAATGACCACAAAAAATGTCATTTAAAAAAACACAATTATACGGTTGTGTACAGCCATATTCTCACACATATAATGCTGACTCTACTAAAAACACAGAGAAGTCAAGAAGGATGAGTTTCTTCAATCACACAAGAACTCTGCTTGCTCCACTGTGGAACTTTTATGAAGGATGCTTGAAGGGGGAGACTGGTCTGGACACCTGCGTTGCTCTCTGTGGGGATCACACCAAACAGGCTGGGCAAGGATGCAGGATCCAAGAGGAGTAGAAGTAGTGTATTCCTTTTTTTAATGAAAATTATCAGCACTTTTGATCAGTGACATCATCAAAGTAAACAAACCCACGTGCTGATTACATCAGCAGGTCATGGGCCTAAACGGAAGTGACATGCTCAGCCCCCACCCTCCGGATGTGACGTTTTGGCCTAATCCCATCAAGATTGGCAGTCAATCCTCTGGGTACATGATTAGGTTAACCCTAGACTAATTCTATGGACATTCAAAACCAAAAAGAGCTCAATAAAGTGAATAATTAGCAGAGGCCTGTGTTTTTGGGAAACAAGCCCTACTTTGGGGAGCTGTGAAATAAAAAATAAAAAAGGCTTTTTATTTCTAATCATTCTAGCCTAATGATGCTTTTAATTTTTGTGGAGTTTTAAAAATCAGTGCCTCAAAAGCTGGGGAAAAAGAAGACCCTGAAAGGCAGACAGAGCCTGCATTTAACCCCTTTTTTTCTAAAAGATATGTTTTTCTAAAAGGTATTTATTTCTAGGTGGCTTTAAAAGCATATCCTCGAGTGCAGGGGAAAAAAAACAAACGAACCACAGCCCCTTTTAAAACCCACAGCTGGTTTTTACCTTTGTAAAAAAATCTAAAGACACGTATTTTGCCATTTGCACCCTGAATAAAATTTATTCTGTCCCCCTCCCCACTATAGCAAAAGACAAGGAATATTAACAGGACTTAAAATGCTCACAAGAGGCAAGCAGCCAACCAGGCTCACAAGAGGCAAGCAGCCTTGCAGTAGGGTTTTAAAGCTTGTTCAGGCATGTCAGGACCGTGATTCTGGGCATGCGTGTTTCTGTCTGTCTGCTAGTAAAAAAGGGGGGTTAGGCCTTGTTTGGGACGTGCCCGGGCATGTCATGCTCCCCGTGATCTGGGCATGCGTAATGCTCAAGGGCGTGTCATTGCAAGGGGCAGGGGAGTTTGTGTGGACAGGCCTGAACAGCTAGCGATTTAATCCCAGCAGTCTTTTGAAGATGGCAGCCTCTGATGGAGATTTGTTTGATGTAAATTTGACCCCCAAACCACCCAAGCGTGGGCTCAAAATAAGAAAAGGACCTGAGTTATACAGTTTAATTGAAGAGAACAAACTTATAAAGCCTTGTTATTGCAGATTCTGCAAAACATCAAATGGTAAGTGTGTGTAGATATGTATGTGTGTGTGTGTGTGTATATATATATATATATATATGTAGGTCTTTGGTTGTTCGGGTTTTCTCCCGCGTAAAATTGGAAGTGTCTTGGCGACGTTTCGACAAAGTCCCATTCGTCATCTTCAGGCTGGTGTTTTCAGCTTCCTGCTTTGAGAATTTTTAATTCTGATATCTTCAGGACTCAGAGTGGTCTGTAATAGTCACTGGTGTAGTGCCTATGTGATCCTCCATTATGAATACTTTAAAGTTAACTACACACTAGCCTCACACACTGATTGAATTTTGGGTTGCGTGAAACGCAACCTGGTATCAACCTGGTTCATACCAAACAGATTACATAATTAAAAATCACACTTCCTGTCACCTATGTGTCCCAAGATGTGGTTCAAGTAATCACGAGTGTGTCAGGCACACGTAGGTAGCCACCAACGATCTGCCTTTAAGATCAGGGATCCCTCCAAATCACCAAGACCTTTTTCCTAAAGTGCATCCAAAAGCTGCCTCTTTCAGCTCAACCCTGGAAGTCAGAATTGTCCAACTAGAGAAGATGGAGTCAAAAGAATAAAGAATAAAGATGGCAGCTGTTTTAAAGGGCATCCCATGCACAGCTAAAAAGAAGCGGGACTTTGACTGCACAGTATTGGGCAATTTGACTGCCATCTTGAAGTGTTTTTTTTTAACTCCCATCCAAGCCCTGAAAACAGTCCTCTTGATTATTTTGAACAATAATATTAATGATTATAATTGCAGATTCAACATAGAAACAATAAAAGTATGTGTAACGATACGGTATGTGGGTGTATATATGACAAATACAATCTGAATTTTTAAAAAAACAAAAACAACATAATAGGAAAAGAAACTCCTATTTTCCTGCATCTTCCTTCTACATCTCAAACCCATTTTTTCATCCCTAAATCTTCAGTTCTCCTTATTGATCAACAAAGGACTAGTAAAAAATAACAAAAACATCTGGGTGCTTTGACTTATGACTGTAACAACTTACAACCAGAAATGCATTCCCCGTTTTGGTCATCAGTCAAAGAGTTCCTGTACACTGCAAAACATTATATATACTCCCAACTCTTATAACCCATTGTCTAAAGATTCTTGAGAACAGTCAGGTGTGTCTTTTGAAAAAAAAATGTTTTTCACATTCTTCACAATTGAAGAGATTTATCTCTGCTATGGACCTTATGATGCACTCGCGACACTAGTTTCCTCATTGTGAAGGTTTCCCCACACCAAAAAACTGTAGGATTTCCCATCTGGGACTGTGTGAAGTTCCTGGTGAATTATAAGCTGTGACATTTAAAAAAATGTTTTCCACATTCTTCACAACTGAAGGAGTTTCTCTCTACCATGGACTTTCTGATACATTTTTAGCTGAGATTTACAATGAAAAGTTTTCTCACATTCTACACACTTGTAAGGCGACTCCCTTGTGTGACTTCTGGTGTGCCTAAGTGATGACATTCGGGCAAAACATTTCCCACACTCCAGGCATTTGTATGGTTTCTCTACAGTGTGGGTTCTCTGATGCATCACAAGATTATCTTTCCGAGAAAAACATTTATCGCACTCCGAGCATTTATGGGGCTTCTCTCCTGTATGGATTCGGCTGTGATTTTTAAGGGAATGTGAATGAGCAAATGCTCTCCCACAGTCTAAACATTTGTAATTTCTTTCCCCTGTGTGAGTTTTTACATGACTTCTAAGGTATGATGCGGTAGAATAAAATTTTCCACATTCGATGCATTGATATGGCTTCTCCCCTGTGTGGGTTTTATGATGTGTCCACAGGTTTCCCTTTTGAGCAAAACATTTTCCACATTCTAGGCATTTGTACGGCTTCTCCCCTGTGTGGGTTTTATGATGTGACCAAAGGGTTCCCCATTCAGCAAAACATTTCCCACATTCTAGGCATCTGTATGGCTTCTCTCCTGTGTGGAGCCTCTGATGCCTTCCCAGGCTTTCTTTTCGGGTAAAGCATTTCCCACACTCCTCACATTTGTATGGTTTTTCCCCTGTGTGGATTCTCTCATGACCCTGAATACCTGTTTGTGTAAGAAAACTTTTCCCACATTTCCCACATTCATAGGGTTTCTCCCCTTTGTGCCTCTTCTGGTGCTTCCCAAATGCAGAAGGACACATAAATCGTTTCTCACATTCTGGGCATTCATAGGGTCTCTCTCCGGTGTGAATTCTCTGATGTCGCACCAGGCCTGATTTCCACATAAAACATTTCCCACATTCGAGGCACTTTTCGTTTTTTTCCCCTCTGTGTGTTTTCGCATGAGTCCAAAGACCTGAACTCCGGGTGAAACCTTTTCCACACTCAAAGCATTTGTACGATTTTATTCCTGCATGAACCTTCTCATGGGCCCAAAGACTTGCCTTCCAAGAAAAGCTCCTCCCACATTCCCAACACTTGTAAGGTTTCTCCCCTGTGTGAATTCTCTCGTGCTTTCTGAGGATGACTTTTTCACTGAAAAAATTCCCACATTCCAGACACTGATAGGGTTTCTCTCCAGTGTGGATTTTCTGATGTCTAAGAAGGTGTGACCTTCGACCAAAGCATAAGTCACATTCCTCACATTTATAGGGTTTTAGTCTGGGGGGGCTTCTGAAATTTTTCATGTCTTTTCCAGAGAAGAATTTCTCACCCTGCAAACCTTCACTGGATCCGCTTCCCACATGGAACTTCCTGTCAGGCAAAAGGAGGGACCTGCGAGCAAAGGATTTCCCACACTCTGAGCATTCATGGGTTCTTTTGTGGTTTTCTGCTGCTTGTGTCTCACAGGGGATCCAAGAGTTTCCCAGGCTCCAATCTTTCTGGCACTGGCTGCCTTGGGCTGATTTTCTGTTATCTCTTAAAAGGTGACTTCTAGGTGAATCTTTGGTCAGAGTTGTTTTCCTGCTGGAGGAAAAAGAAAGAAGAGGAGAATAATGTTTCCTTTTGAGAATGGTAGAGAATCACAAAGTCTTAGCCTTGGAAGGGACCATGAAGGTCTTCCAGTCCACCCTCTGACCAGGGCAAAGGTCCGCAGTACACCCCAGACAAAACCTCCATGGATTCCATCACCCCAGATTCCCTCAGAGGCAAACTCTCCTGCTGTTCACTGACTCTATCTTTTCCTCCTTGGTTCTCGTCCTATGACGAGGACAAAAAGAATCTCTGAAAATTTAGGTAGTCCTCAATTTGTGACCAAAATCGGGACTGGAATCTTGGTGTGTCCAGGAAAGTAGGAGTTATGTGAGGGTCACACGGCCACTTCGCTCACCAAGCACAATCCCACACTCCTGCTTACAGTCATTAAAACATCTTGAGGGTTCTTAAGTGGAGGAAGGGCCAGGAAAGGGATGTGGGGGTGTCTGGGGGTGGGCTGGTCCTAGAGACCAGTCTGGGGGGGTTGAAGTGGGATGGAAGCCTGAGCCACTCCATCCAGGCCATGAAAAGCAGCCCCAATTGACAGCAATGCCGGGGCTGGCCCTTAAGTTGCTGGCCCTTCAGCATTTCAGCCAGTGGCCACTGACCCCAGGCCTGGACTTTAGCCCAGTATCACCGCGGCGACTGAGAAATGAGGCGTTAATCCCCACACAGGAGGCCTTTGCAGCCTTGCGCCATTCTCCAAGCTGCCTGTTCCATACATGTTTCCAAGCCATGCGCCCCAAAGTCAATGTGTCCCTGAAGTCAAAAGTAGCCTGTGCTGAGACTCACATGGCCTCTCCTGCCCACTTCAGACAACCCCACATTCCTCTGCTGAAAGACATGTGAAATCGGCTTCCTTGGCTTAAGCCGCTGAAACAGATATAATTCACTTTATCCCTTTATGTCTAGGCCAGACATGGAGAGCCCAGATTTGGCTCCCCGAGGCTGTCCCAGAAATGGCAAGCAACCGGCCCCCGCTGCCCCAGCCCTGGCCCAACGCAATCCAGCTGGGTGCCTTGGTCAGGCCCGTCAGGAGTGGAAGAGGAGGAGGCGGAGGAAGCCGAGGTGTTACAAAAAAGGAGAGCTTCCCCCATTCTTCCACCCCTTCTCTCTCTTTTTTTTAAATAAATCTTTATTAAGTACAAAGAAAAAAAAGGATTAAAAACATTGAACATGGTAAATCGTCTTTGACTGACATCTCAGTCCATATTGTACGTTAATTTCATATAATATACCTAAATACAAGTATACATTTCTAGTCTCTATCTCAGTTTATATTTACTGTGACCTCCATTTTTTCCCTCCATCTATAAAATTTATTCCTTCCTTCCTTTCTTTCTCTCTTTCCTTCCTTCCTTCCTTCTTTCCTCTCTCTCTCTCTCTCTCTCTCTCTCTCACACACACACACACACACACAATACACACACAAACACACAAAGGTTAATAAAAAAAGAGGAAGGAGGAGAAAGTTGGAAACTCCTTTTTTGTAAAACCTCAGCTTCGTCCTCCCCTCTCAGCTCTTTCTATCTCTCTCTTACACACACACAAACTTACACACACACCCCTTTCCTGTTTACTCATCGTCCTTTTCCTCAGCTGCATCTGAAGGAGTGGGAGGAAGTTTAAAAAAAAGAGAGAGAAGGAGTGTTGGAAATGCAAAAAAAAGGGCACCTTTTTTCATGTAAGGTAGACTTGTAGAGAAGCACAGGTGTAATGGCGTATAGTCTGGGATTGGGCAATAGAAATGACTAGGCAAAACATTCAATACAAACCGGAGACATTACTATTAGGAATACTAGAGAAAAATGTAAATAAAGAGGACGCATATTTAATTATCCATGTGGTCACAGCAGCAAGGATACTATTTGCTCAGAAGTGGAAAGCAATGGAAGTACCGAGTGGGGAAGCACTAATAAAGAAAATTATGTATTGCGCAGAACTAGATAGGATAACTAAAAGATTAAAAAATGAGGAAAAACTTTTTCTTTAGGCTAAAGCCGGCGCCAGTCTGCCCGAGGCTATTTATCAGGCAGCTTGGAATGGCAGGGAAAAAATGGAGATGGTGTTACTTTTTCCCTTTCGCGGCTCGTGCAATTTACTTTGGCTTTTCTATCTCTTCAAAGACTTTTGTCATAAACGGGGGGGGGCTTTTTCCGGAGGGGGGGTTGCGTTTTCGTCCTACAACCCTACACACAAAGGATTTTCTTTTTCGCCTTTTACACTGAACTCAAAGGAAGGGGGATTTTTCTGGCTTAAGAAAACAACGAACTCCATTCAGTTAATTTAACCCTTTTTCTTTCCCCCAAAGTCTCCTTCGCTATCGCAATGAGGTCAGTCCGTTTTAAAAAATCACATTACAAATCTCTCTAAATCTTTTAAAGCTCCGTTTGCTACATTTTTGCAGCTGCACGTGACTGTGACGGACCACAAAGAGACCTTCTGGAGCAACTTCCCCAAAAGCTCCTTCCCGGATCCACCCGGAGTCCCGCGGGGAGCCCTGGCCGGGCGAGGAGGGGGCAGATCCAGCCCGGGGAGGGAGGGATCCCCCTTTGCCCCCCCTGGAGGGAAGGGAGGGATCCGCTCCCTGCAGGCGACGCCAGAGCCGAATCTCCCCAAGGAAAACCCGGCAAGCCGAAGAGGCGGATCCGCAGCTACCTTTCTCCTGGCGGGGGGGACAAGCTCTCCTGGCGGGAGGGGCGCCCCAAAGGCCGGAGGGGGAGCAGCCAGACCTGCCCGGAACGGGATCCAGAAGCCTCTCCCGAGGGATCCAGCGCCGATCCTGCCAGGGCGAAGCGAGACAGCCGGAAGGAAGCGGAAATCCACCGAGTGGGAGGGTCGAGGCGGGGGGCGGGGCTTCTGCTCTCTTCTCGGTCACCGCTTTCCGCCCCGCCCCTTAGCGATCTCAGCTCCTCCCCCCTCCCTTCCCCTCTCCACCTTCCCAGCCTCCCCCCCTCCCTTCTCCGTTTCTCCGCTGGGCATCCGCCTCCCGGGTTCCTCTGCCCATGCGAAGAGTGCCCTGCTGTGCCCGGGCGGGGCTGCCTCCTGCTCCAGCATCTGGGTGGAAACTGAAGCTCCGCGATGGCTTTTGGGGGGGAGGCAGGAGCGACAGGAACCCCCCCCCCGTCCCTTCGAGGAGGGCTCCTCTCCGGCTGGGAGTTTGCGGAGCCCGACTGAGGACGGAGAGGGAGGGGCTGGCCCGGGTCCTCAGGAGTGCGCGGGCGGGAGGGAGGAAGACCGGGCAGGTGGCTCCTTGCAGTGGCAAAGGGGTTACAGATCCTCCTCCCCCCCTCTCCGTGGGCGCTATCACATTTTTCAACAAAACTACAAGTAGTCCTCGACTTATGACCACAATTGAACCCAAAATGTGTGTTGTTAAGTGAGTGATTGGTTATGGGAGTTGTGCGTTTACCCCCATTTTACGAACTTTCATGCCACAATGGTTAAATGAATTGCGGCAGTTGACAAGTTAATAACCCGGTCGTTAAATGAATCCAGCTTCCCCATGGACTTTGCTCGTTGGGAGGTCGCAAAAGGGACACAGCAACGGTCGTAAGTATGAACCAGTTGCCAAGCATCCGAAATTCAGAAGTCACTTTCTTCGTTGCCCTTGTGACTTTGAACGGCCACTAAATGAGATTTAAGTCGAGGATTGCCTGTGTTTTGGGGGTTATACTTGTCCCGTAAACCCAATGGGATGAAATGCTCTGGGCAGAGGCTTTTAGGAGAGAGGAACCAGTGGGAATTCCGGAAGGAAGGTGAAAGTCTGGCTGAGTTGGGAGGAGAAGAGAGGAAGGACAGGTTGACAGATGACAAGAAACCTGGAAATTATGTTTGCTTAAATGTCACAGCGCCCATGGGGATACCTTAGAACAGTGATGGGGAACCTTTTAGAGACTCAGTGACGAAACTGCAACCCAAAACCCACTTATTTATCACCGGGCGCCGGGTGGGCGTGGGCACTGGTCCTGGCAGACTGGATGGGTGGGGCCATGGTGGGAGGGGCCAGGTTCGCCACCACTGCCTTAGAACAGATGATTGATTCTTAAGCGAGCTCTAATTAATACATTGATGATATTGTTATTTTTTGTGATTTACTGATTTTTACCTGTTACTGTTGACTGTTAGGATTTCTTGAGATTTTATTAATAGTATTTATTTAATAGATGAACGTATTTGTTTATTGTTTTTAATATGCTATAGTTAAGCTTATTTTAAAAATGGTTGAATATGATATTTACTCATTATTATGATCCAGATAGTAGCTTTTTTGTTAAAATACATGATTGTATCTATCCTTATTTTATCCTAAACCCCTTATTCCCTTCCCTCCATCCCCTCCCTTTACCATATCTGTATTGTTCCTATTTTTTTCCTTATGTCTATAAACTCAATAAAATCTTGTTAAAAAGTTCGGTACCAAACTTGAAACTGTATTACGACGCTGTGGTTTTAACATTAATAAGTGACTGGGTTAATTTAACAAATGTAGAAATACTCCTCTTGGAGGGTTGGGATTTACTTTTCGGATGGCATGCCTATTTAATTTTTAATAAAAAGGTGGATAGGGTTTTTAAATCTCATATTATAAGGATTTCTTTACTTCGGGTCTGGAGGAAATATCATAGAAGTGATTCTAAAATTCCATTATGGGCTATACCATGGCATGCGATTGAGGGGATAAAGAGAGGAGTTAAGATGGATAGTGTTTCTTATGCACAACTACTTAGATGGGATGGCAAAAATTGGCAGTTAAAATCTTTGGAAGATTTAGCACAAGAAAATATTACATACTCATGGTTTCAGTATAGACAAATAGTGGATAGATGGATGATAGATCGTAATGTGGGTTTGCTTAGAGAAGATGAGAACTTTTTTAAACAAGTAAAAGATCAAAGACGAACTCACATTAAGAGAATTTATGGGGTGTTAGTAGCATTAGATTCAGAAGCAGAATTAGTTAAAGAATGTATAATTAAATGGGCACAAAACTTTGGTGAACCAGTTCTACTAGATACTTGGGAAACTATTTGGGTGAGGAATGTCAAATTTACACAAGCCCAGAATTTAAGGGAGAATTTTTACAAAATGTTTTATAGATGGCACCTTGATCCACAAAAAATGTCTTGTATGTATTCTGATTTACAGCCTAAATGTTGGAGATGTGGATGTTTGGATGCTACTTATTATCATATCTGGTGGTCGTGTAAAAATATAAAAGCTTTTTGGATTAAGATATGGTGGAATATTCAAAGAATTTTTAGAAGGAGGGTAAAATTTACCCCACAATTGTTTTGTTAGGTATTGTTACTGATTGTGATACTAAAGAGACTACATTGATGTTAAATTTAATTACAGCCGCAAGGTTGTTAGTAGGGCAATGTTGGAAGAAGGAATCTTTGCCTACTTTGCAAGAGTGGTTTTTTAAAGTTTCTTATTTGGCGGAAATGGCAAAGATTTCGGCTTTCTTGAAGGATCAATCGCAAGAGAAGTATTTTGTGGTGTGGAAAAAATGGATTGACTTTATACAATACAAGTTGGATATAAAAATATTATTTAGTTTTTTAATAACTCATATTTAAAATTTAAAATATTTTATAGATTTTATTTTTATTTCATTTTTTCTATCTTTTTCCCTTTTCCTATTTTTTTCTTTTTAAGTATTTTTTTGTACTTATGTTTTTCTATATATATATTATTGTTAAGTATTTTATAATTTGTTTAATTAATGTATTTAGATTTATTCATGTTTTATATTTTTTTAAAGATTTTTTGAAGAAATTTTAATTAAGCCTATATTCAGCTCTGGGAAGGTCGGGGGAGGGTTGGGGAGGTTTGGGGACGGGTTGTATTGTTTTGTAAAATTTTAAAAAACTTTCAATAAAAAAAATATTGTTAAAAAAAAAAAGAAGACAGGAAACTTGGAAATTATGTTTGCTTAAATGTGACAGCGCCCACGGGGATGGGGGGGGGAGGAGAATTTGTAATCCCTTTCCCATTGCAAGCGTGGCTCGGTCTCTCCGTCCCTCCTGCCCCCTCCGGAGAAGCCATGGGGAGAGATGGGGGGGGGGAAGACCCTGGAGGGGAGCTGACGGGACCGGAGGGAGCCAGGATGAGGTTCACCCACCAGCAGGGAAGCGTCCTTTGACGGGGCTTCTCCAGAGGCCTTTTTCAACTTCAGGTTTATTTCACTGGAAGAATAATAATCCCCCATGTCGGGAAAGATCCAAAAGAGATCCCGCATTATCAGCCCTCAGAATCCGATGTGGGCAGATTGCCAGAACTGGCTGCGTCTCTTGTGCCCCCCCCCCCGTCCAGAGGAGAGGATGATGGGTTGGAGGAAGCGAGGGAAGAGGCGGCCAAAATGCACTTGGGCGAAGATCTGGCCCCGGGTGTGGAGGAGGCGATGCCGGCAGAGACCCCCCCCCCAATAACATTCCTGGAGGGATCCATAGGCTGGGAAAGGCAGGGGGGGATGGAGAGGGGGGGATAAAGGCATTTGGGGGCTTCTGCATATCCCCCCCCGCCCAGGGAGACTCCCCCGGGGAAGGGAGCCCGGGCCAGCCCCTCCCTCTCCGCCCTCAGTCGGGCTCCGCAAAGACCCGGCCGGAGAGGAGCCCTCCTCGAAGGGACGGGGGGGGGGTTCCTGTCCCTCCTGCCTCCCCCCCCAAAAGCCATCGCGGAGCTTCAGTTTCCATCCAGATGCTGGAGCAGGAGGCAGCCCCGCCCGGGCACAGCAGGGCACTCTTCGCATGGGCAGAGGAACCCGGGAGGCGGATGCCCAGCGGAGAAACGGGGAAGGGAGGGGGGAAGGCTGGGAAGGCGGAGAGGGGAAGGGAGGGGAGGAGGAGATGAGGCTGTAAGGCGTGGGCGGAGCCCAGGAGAAGGGCAGAAGCTCCGCCCCCGATTTTCCCCTCCCACTCGGTGGATTTCCGCTTCCTTCCCGCACTTCCCGCTTCGTCCTGGGAGGATCGGCGCTGGATCCCTCGGGAGAGGCTTCTGGATCCCGTTCTGGGCAGGTCTGGCTGCTCCCCCTCCGGCCTTTGGGGCGCCCCTCCCGCCAGGAGAGCTTTCCCCCCCCCGCCAGGAGAAAGGTAGCTGCGGATCCGCCTCTTCGGCTTGCCGGGTTTTCCTTGGGGAGATTCGGCTCTGGCGTCGCCTGCAGGGAGTGGATCCCTCCCTTCCCTCTGGGGGGGGCAAAGGGGGTCCCTCCCTCCCCGGGCTGGATCTGCCCCCCTCCTCGCCCGGCCACGGCTCCCCGCGGGGCTCCGGGTGGATCCGGGAAGGAGCTTTTGGGAAAGTTGCTCCAGAAGGTCTCTCTGTGGTCCGTCACGTGCAGCTGCAAAAATGTAGCAAACGGAGCTTTAAAAAGATTTAGTGAGATTTGTAATGTAATTTTTTAAAACGGACCGACCTCATTGCGATAGCGAAGGGAGAATTTGGGGGAAAGAAAAAGGGTTAAATTAACTGAATGGAGTTCGTTGTTGGCTTAACTCACAAACATCCCCCTTCCTTTGAGTTCAGTGTAAAAGGCGAAAAAGAAAATCCTTTGTGTGTAGGGGTGTAGGACGAAAACGCAACCCCCCCTCCGGAAAAGCCCCCCCCCGTTTATGACAAAAGTCTTTGAAGAGATAGAAAAGCCAAAGTAAATTGCACGAGCCGCAAAAGGGAAAAAGTAACACCATCTCCGTTTTTTTTTCCTTCCACTCGAAGCTGCCTGATAAATAGCCTCGGGCAGACTGGCGCCGGCTTTAGCCTTAAAAAAAAAAAGCTGCAATGTTGCAATCAGAGGTCTTGAATAGCTTTAATTGTTGCGAAAGCAGAAACAAGGACTGCAGCCTGTGTATGTGCAGAAATGGCTCTCCGGAAGATCTAGACCGGGTAGAAATAAGGGGTGTCAAACTCAATTTCATTGAGGGCGGCATCAGCATCGTGATTGCCATTGGGGGGCCGGGTGGTTGTGGCTGGCATGGGCCTAGCCTGCTGGGTGGGCGTGGCCAGCTCCATGTCACTCATGTCAGGGGCACCTGTGGGGGCCTGGGCAGGAATGAGGCGCATCCGAGGGTGGGGAAGGGTGGGTGGGATGGGGGCCGAGCGCCAGGGCATGGTCCACTGGAGGAGCCTCACTCAGCCTCAGGCTTTGCACGGGGCCCCTGGACAGTGGCATGGACTGCCCAGAGCCCTGGGCAGCAGAGGTAAAGTGCTCCCACAGCCCTGCCTAGCATAGCCGCACTGCCCCCAAGGGTGCGCCCGGCTGCACTTACCTCCTACTCAGTGCTGCTGCTGCTATGCTCACTCTCCTTGGCCAGGTTGCTCATGGTGAGTGCAGGAGGACAAAGTGTGTGGGTCAGAGGGAGGCCCACTCCCTCTCCATGCGAGGAAACCTGGCTTTGTAACCAAAGCATCCTCAGCAATAGGATGGGAGACCACCAGGGGATGGCAAAAGAACAACAGGGCTGCTGGTGGCCAAGTGCTAAAGCAGGACTTCCCTCAGACCCTCCCTCCCTTTCTTTCTTTCTTTTTCTTTCTTTCTTTTTCTTTCTTTCTTTCTTTCTTTCTCTTTCCTTCTCTTTCTTCCTTTCCTTCCTTCCTTCCCTCTTTCCTTCTTTCCTCCCTTCCCTTGTTCCCTGCCTCCCTCCTTTTCATTCCCATCTCCTCCCTTCCTTCCCTTACATTTTTCCTGTTTCCCTCCCCTCCTTCCTTCCTTCCCTCCTTCTCTCTGTGCCCAGGAAGGGACAGGGGGAGGGGGAGAGGTTGGCAGCCCTTCTCCCAAAGAATAAGAGTAGGAAGAGACCTTTCAGGTCTTTAGTCCAAGCTCCTGCTCAAGCAGGGGACATAGACCACTCCAGACAATGGAAGATCCAGTCTCTACTAAAAGCCTCCAGTGATGGAGCATCCACAACTTCTGAAGGGAAGCCTTTTCACTGGTTAGTTGTTTTCACAAGTCCTTAGTTCTAGGCTGGTTTTCTTCTTGATTAGTTTCCATCTATTGTTTGCCTTTTGATGCTTTGGAAAATAAGTTGACCCCTTCTTCTCTGTGGCAGCCCATCAAATATTGGAACACTGCTATCATGTCACCAGCCCTGTTCCTTTTCACTAAGCTAGACATACCCAATTCCCACAAACATTTGTCATATGTTTTAGCCTCCAGGCCCCTAACCATCTATGTTTACCATCCATTAGACCAGATGGTCCCCCTGGTTTGGTTTATAGTACAATGGCCACACGCAGAGCCTTCTCAGAGACAGCACCCCCATTATAAAACTTTCTCCCAAGGAAAATATGGACAGTGCAACCCTCACCCGTTTAGAGGAAACTCCAAACACACTGTTCAGCCAGGGATATGTAAAACAACAACACATTTTATGGTCAAACAGCACTAAGTGAATAACTACAACTATTTTTCTTTCATAAAATACATACTTTTAATATTGTTTTAGGCAGTGCTAGTGGTGCTTTACAATACCAGTCTTTGAGAGTTTTCTTGTAAACCACCCTGGATTTCTCAGAAACTTTTAATTTCAAATTAGATGTTGATTTAATAAATTAGGCAGAAGAAAAAAATGTATGTGTGTGAGAGACAGAGAGAGAGAGATAGAGAGAGAGAGAGAGAGAGAGAGATCCCCTTTTTGTAACTCCCTGCTGGCTCAATCTCTCTTGCTCACACACACACACACACACACACACACACACACACACACACACAACCAAACACACATACAAAGGTTAATAAAAAAGAGGAGGGGGGAGAAAGTTGGAACCTCTCCTTTTTTGAAACATCTCAGCTTCCTCCGCCTCCTCCTCTTCCACTCCTGACCAGGCCTGACCAAGGCACCCAGCTGGATTGCGGTGGGCCAGGGCTGGGGCAGCGGGGGCCGGTCGCTTGCCATTTCTGGGACAGCCTTGGGGGGGCAATTCTGGGCCCTCCCAGGGCCGCATCCAGCCCACGGACCTTATGTTTGACATGTCTGGCCTAGAGATAAAGGGATAAAGTGAATTATATCTGTTTCAGCGGCTTAAGCCAAGGAAACTGATTTCACATGTCCTTAAGCAGACGAATGTGGGGTTGTCTGAAGTGGGCAGGAGAAGCTATGTGAGTCCCAGCACAGGCTACTTTTGACTTCAGGGACAGATTGACTTTGGGGCGCATGGCTTAGAAACATGTATGGAATAGGCGGCTTGGAGAATGGCGCAAGGCTGCAAAGGCCTCTGGTGTGCAGATTAACACTTCATTTCTCAGTGGCTGTGGTGACACTGGGCTAAAGTCCAGGCCTGGGGTCAGTGTCCACTGGCTGAAATGGCTGAAGGCCCCAGGCCTCCACTTTAGGGCCAGCCCCAGGATTGCTGTCAATCAGGGATGCTTTTCATGGCTTGGATGGGGCAACTCAGTCTTCCATGGGTGGCTGCAGCTGTGCATCTCACTTCAACCTTCCCCAACTCATAGGGGAGGGCCTGTGCCTGGTCTCTAGGACCAGCCCACCCTAGACACCCCACATCCCTTTCCTGGCCCTTCCTCCACTTAAGAACCCTCAAGATGGTTTAATGACTGTAAGCAGGAGTGTGGGATTGTGCTTGGTGAGTGAAGTGGCCGTGTGACCCTCACATAACCCCTACTTCCCTGGACACAGCAAGATTCCAGTCCAGATTTTGGTCATAAGTTGAGGACTACCTAAAGTTTCAGGGCTTCTTTTTCTCCTCATCATAGGACGAGAACCAAGGAGGAAAAGATAGAATCAGTGAATAGCAGGAGAGTTTGCCTCCGAGGGATCTGGGGTGACGGAATCCATGGAGGTTTTAGCTAGGGTGTACTGTGGACCCCTGCCCTGGTCAGAGGGTGGACTGGAAGACCTTCATGGTCCCTTCCAAGGCTAAGATTTTGTGATTCTCTACCGTTCTCAACAGGAAACATTATTCTCCTCTTCTTTCTTTTTCCTCCAGCAGGAAAACAACTCTGACCAAAGATTCACCTGCAAGTCACCATTCAAGAGATAGTAGAAAATCAGCCCAAGGCAGCCAGTGCCAGAAAGGATGGAGCCTGGGAAACTCTTGGATCCCCTGTGAGACACAAGCAGCACTCTTAAAAACCACAAGAGAACCCATGAATGCTCAGAGTGTGGGAAATCCTTTGCTTGCCAGTCCCTCCTTTTGACCCACAGGAAGTTCCATGTGGGAAGCAGATCCAGTGAAGGTTTGCAGGGTGAGAAATTCTTCTCTGGAAAAGACATGAAAAATTTCAGAAGTCCCCCCAGACTAAAGCCCTATAAATGTGAGGAATGTAACTTATGCTTTGGTCAAAGGTCACACCTTCTTAGACATCAGAAAATCCACACTGGAGAGAAACCCTATCAGTGTCTGGAATGTGGGAATTTTTTCAGTGAAAGAGCCAGTCTCAGAAACCACGAGAGAATTCACACAGGGAAGAAACCTTACAAGTGTTGGGAATGTGGGAGGAGCTTTTCTTGGAGGGCAAGTCTTTGGGCCCATGAGAAGGTTCATGCTGGAATAAAATCTTACAAATGCTTTGAGTGTGGAAAATCTTTCACCCGGAGTTCATGTCTTTGGAGTCATGCGAAAACACACAGAGGGGAAAAAAACGAAAACTGCCTCGAATGTGGGAAATGTTTTATCTCAAAATCAAACCTAGTGAAACACCAGAGAATTCACACCGGAGAGAGACCCTATGAATGCCCAGAATGTGGGAGACGATTTATGTTTCCTTCTGCGCTTGGGAAGCACCAGAAGAGGCACAAGGGGGAGAAACCCTATGAATGCGAGGAATGTGGGAAAGGCTTTCTTACACAAGGAGAGCTTCAGCTTCACGAGAAAATCCACACAGGGGAAAAACCATACAAATGTGAGGAGTGTGGGAAATGCTTTGCCCGAAAAGAAGGCCTTGGAAGGCATCAGAGGCTCCACACAGGAGAGAAGCCATACAGATGCGTAGAATGTGGGAAATGTTTTGCTGAATGGGGAGCCCGTTGGTCACATCATAAAACCCACACAGGGGAGAAGCCGTACAGATGCCTAGAATGTGGGAAATGTTTTGCTCGAAAGAGAAGCCTTTTGACACATCATAAAATCCACACAGGAGAGAAGCCATATCAATGCTTCGAATGTGGACAATTTTATTCTACCTCATCATACCTTAGAAGTCATGTAAAAACTCACACAGGGGAAAGAAACTACAAATGTTTAGACTGTGGAAGAGCATTTTCTCATTCATATTCCCTCAAAAAGCACAGCCGAATCCACACAGGAGAGAAGCCACATAAATGCTCAGAGTGCGATAAATGTTTTTCTCGGAAAGATAATCTTGTGATGCATCAGCGAATCCACACTGGAGAGAAACCCTATCAGTGTCTGGAATGTGGAAATTTTTTCAATGAAAAAGCCCATCTGGGAAACCATGAGAGAATTCACACAGGGGAGAAACCTTACAAGTGTTGGGAATGTGGGAGGAGCTTTTCTTGGAAGGCAAGTCTTAGGGCCCATGAGAAGATTCATGCAGGAATAAAATCTTACAAATGCTTTGAGTGTGGGAAATGTTTCACCCAGAATTCAGGTCTTCGGAGTCATGAGAAAACACACAGAGGGGAGAAAAACGAAAAGTGCCTCGAATGTGGGAAATGTTTTACCTGGAAATCAAGCCTGGTGCAACATCAGAGAATTCACACCGGAGAGAGACCCTATGAATGCCCAGAATGTGGGAGACGATTTGTGTTTCTTTCTCTACTTCAGAGGCACCAGAAGGGGCACAAAGAGGAGAAACCCTATCAATGTGGGGAATGTGGGAAAGGTTTTCTTACACAAACAGAGCTTCAGGTTCATGAAATAATCCACACAGGAGAGAAGCCATTTAGATGCGTAGAATGTGGGAAATGTTTTGCTCAAAAGGGAAACCTTTGGAGACATCATAAAATCCACACAGGGGAGAAATTATTCAGATGCCTAGAATGTGGGAAATGTTTTGCTCAAAAGGGAAACCTTTGGAGACATCATAAAACCCACACAGTGCGATAAATGTTTTTCTCAGAAAGATAATCTTGTGATGCATCAGCGAATCCGCACTGGACAGAAACCATATAAATGCCTGGAGTGTTTGAAATGTTTTGCCCAACCTTCACTTCGCAAGCACACCAGAAGTCACACAGGGGAATCGCCTTACGAGTGTGCAGAGTGAGAAAACTTTTCATTGTAAATCTCAGCTAAAAATGCATCAGAAAGTCCATGGTAGAGAGAAACCTCTTCAGTTGTGAAGAATGTGGAAAACATTTTTTTAAATGTCACAGCTTATAATTCACCAGGAACTTCACACAGTCCCAGATGGGGAATCCTACAGTTTTTTGGTGTGGGGAAACCTTCACAATCAGGAAACTAGTGTCGCAAGTGCATCATAAGGTCCATAGCAGAGATAAATCTCTTCAATTGTGAAGAATGTGAGAAACATTTTTTTTTTCAAAAGACATACCTGACTGTTCTCAAGAATCTTTAGACAATGGGTTATAAGAGTGGGGAGTATATATAATGTTTTGCAGTGTACAGGAACTCTTTGACTGATGACCAAAACGGGGAATGCATTTCTGGTTATGTTGCAGTCATAGGTCAAAGCACCCAGTTGTTTTTGTTATTTTTTTACTGGTCCTTTGTTGATCAATAAGGAGAACTGAAGATTTAGGGATGAAAAAATGGGTTTGAGATGTAGAAGGAAGATGCAGGAAAATAGGAGTTTCTTTTCCTATTATGTTTTTGTTTTTTAAAAAATTCAGATTGTATTTGTCATATATACACCCACATACCGTATCATTACACATACTTTTATTGTTTCTATGTTGAATCTGCAATTATAATCATTAATATTATTGTTCAAAATAATCAAGAGGACTGTTTTCAGGGCTTGGATGGGAGTTAAAAAAAAACACTTCAAGATGGCAGTCAAATTGCCCAATACTGTGCAGTCAAAGTCCCGCTTCTTTTTAGCTGTGCATGGGATGCCCTTTAAAACAGCTGCCATCTTTATTCTTTTGACTCCATCTTCTCTAGTTGGGCATCTCTGACTTCCAGGGTTGAGCTGAAAGAGGCAGCTTTTGGATGCACTTTAGGAAAAAGATCTTGGTGATTTGGATGGATCCCTGCTCTTAAAGGCAGATTGTTACCTACATGTGCCTGATACACTCGTGATTACTTGAACCACATCTTAGGACACATAGGTGACAGGAAGTGTGACTTTTAATTATGTAATCTGTTTGTATGCACAGTTAGCTGATACCAGGTTGCATTTCATGCAACCCACAATTCAATCAGTGTGTGAGGCTAGTGTGTAGTTAACTTTAAAGTATTCATAATGGAGGGTCACATAAGCACTACACCAGTGACTATTACAGACCACTCTGAGTCCTGAAGGTATCAGAATTAAAAATTGCCAAAGGTTAAAATAAAATATTTGCCATCCAGTTAAGAGGGAACAACAGGAAAATCTTTTAGCAGCTCCCAAAAAAGGCAGCTGTAGATTGCTGGGACTTTGAAGTGTCCCTGAGTGGTTGGTTCCCACCCTGGGAGATGAAACACAGGCGAGAGGTCCACAGCAGAGAAGCTGCCTTTATTGACCCAAGGTCAAAGCCCTTTTCCAGCCTCCGCCCTGAGGGTTGGATACGGAGGTCATGGAATGGATGAAGGCTGCAGAAAACCAAGGCTTAATGCTCCCTAGGAGATCCCTTCTTTGATTGACAGCCACAGTGCAGTCCAGGAATGGATGAGGTTCCCTCTCAACTGATGCTGGGATGAGTAACTCGATGTACTGAGACAACAAGGGGCTCTTTGGCCAGAGCTGGTTTGGGGACCTTGGTGTCCTCCGAGCTTGGTGGTTTCCTTGCAGACATTTCATTACCCAACTAGGGAACATTATCAGTTCTAGGTGACGTTAGCAATTATGCTGTTTCCTAGTTGGGTAATGAAACATCTGCAAGGAAACCACCAAGCTCAGAGAGCAAAGACCCAGCAGTTCAGCCTTGAGCTACAAATAATCCATTCTGGAGCTGAGACCTCTTGGATCCTGGATCCTTGCCCAGCCTGTTTGGTGTGATCCCCACAGAGAGCAACGCAGGTGTCCAGTCCAGTCTCCCCCTTCAAGCGTCCTTCATAAAAGTTCCACAGTGGAGCAAGCAGAGTTCTTGTGTGATTGAAGAAACTCATCCTTCTTGACTTCTCTGTGTTTCTAGTAGAGTCAGCATTATATGTGTGAGAATATGGCTGTACACAACCGTATAATTGTGTTTTTTTTAATGACAATTTTTGTGGGAGTTCCTGGATGACGTTGGTCCTAGACCCTGGGACACAACTCTCCGTACCCAAGGTCCGAATTTCTGTCGCTGGCAGGCCCATTAGGGCCACGCTGGAGGGGTGGCCACCGAGAGGTGAACTCTTTTGAGGAAAGGGAGCTGGTGGTAGCCAGCTACCCAAACTCAAAGTTGCCTCTGGAACTGGTGAGAGAAAGGCGGAGAGCTTTTCTTTTTTTCTCACAGAACTTTCTCTTTTTTTACTTTCTCCCTAAGTAAACAATGTCCCCTGGTGGTTATTTTTGCCATTTTTTCTTTTTGTTTTCTTGCCACAGTATCTCTTTTTGCTACACTATCACTATCTCTGTTGATACAGCTGTGGTGTTTGGCTTAATGCCAAGACACTTGGCTGACTGCCCAGACATCTTTACTTCATTTGAAGATTACCGTACCAAGGTTAGGACTATGTGGTACCACTTTGGCTGTAAAGCTTACCAACTTGACAGTGAAGACCTTGTGCCTTGAACTACAGTCTACCACATTTTATGCAGACAGCAAGGTGATGTCAAGCTACATCTGCAAACAAAGCAGACGCTTCTATGTAAGCAACAGAGAGAAAAGGATTGAAACATCTTTAAGCCCTGAACAATGGCAACATGTGCCTACAAATAAGAACTTTGTTAACCAAGTGAAGTGGCCCACCCTTGCCACACAGTTAACAGAATTGATCTGGCTAGAAAGTCTTGAGTTCTTGGCCTGTCCAAACAGACAGATGCCACAGAAACCAAAACGTTATGCACTTCCAGCTTCAGATCAAAGTGCCAACCTTCTACCTCAGACACCCAGTAAACTTCAACCAATCCGCTTCAAAACCCTGTCTAAGCAAAAACACCTGAAATTAGGCTTACTTTTGATCGTCTTGATCACTTGTCTCAGCACCCCAAGAATTAGCCTTGTAGCATCCTGCAAGGACTTACTGACTTTCACGGACTCCATGTCGTTAAAGACACCCACACCCACACATGAAGTCCTCACTACCCTGACGACAACAGTAGCAGCCCTCTTCAATACTCCACCGGTGGTTCCAGACCCTTCGGTTCTTGAGTATCCTGAGTTTTCTGTTCAAGCTGTTGTTCCTGATTCTTCAATTCCAGCTGTTGTTCCTGATTCTGCAGTTCAGGCTGTTCCTGAGTTTCCAGATGTTCCTGATCCTGATTCTTCAGCCCCAGCTGTTCCTGAGTTTCCAGCTCCAACTGTTCCTGAGTTTCCAGATGTTCCTGATCCTGATTCTTCAGCCCCAGCTGTTCCTGTGTTTCCAGATCCAGCTGTTCATGTTTTTCCAGGTTCTTCAGTTCCTGAGTATCCTGTGAATACAGTTCCCTTCATTCCTGAGAAACTTTCAGTTCCAGTTTTTCTGTTCCAGATTTGGTTCCAGTTTCCTTTACAGAAAGAAGACCTTGTCTCTCTGGGAGACAAGACTGCATACCAGAACTATTGGCCCATGGGACTTATGTACCAGGTCTACCCACTTGATGAACTAGTTTGCCCAGCTGAGGTCCAGATTGTGAAACCACGTGAGTCAGGTCGTGACTCAAAGACTCTTGTACCAGGCTGATCATCAATTTGTTCCCGTTGCTGATGTAGACTGAACCAGAAGATCAAACTTCAAATTATGTATTGTCTTATGCATTGTTTGATGTAACACTTGCTTTTTTGCATAATTGTGCATGTTTTATACTTACCAATAGTTATGCATGTTTGATACCAAGTTTTTAGCTATTTAGTCACAAGTTAGTTAACAATGAGTATTGCATGCCTTGATGCTATGTTTTTGCTATTTCACTTAGTTAGTAGTGGAAATATAAATTTCCAAGCGGGGAGTATTCTGGAACGTATGTAACCCTAACTAGAGAGCAGGTATCAGTATGTGAGAATATCTGGCAGTTATTGGGTTAAATGCTAGGTATGTTGATGGGTCAGTGGGAGAAGTCTCAAAAGGTCATTGGGAGACTTCCTGGACACAAGCCAGGGTAGAATCTCTTTGTCTGAAAGAAGCATAGACCATCGAAGGTCACACAATGAGCTTGAATCATTATAAAGATGGTATGGAAGAGAGCATCATACTTTTACCTAAAGAAATGGTCTGAAGAAATGGACAAAGATGTATTTTCCAGGAATATCAACCACACCATAAATGCAAGTAATCTTTCTGATTAAAATATATTTTTGTTTATTATGAGATCGTTTCTTTTGAGTTATCTATCTGACTTGATTTAAAGAAGGCGTTTTATATCAGAGTCAGAATAATTACTAAGAGAGACTGCTCTCTATTCTGTTTTTGTTTTTGTGTCCTTGCTTGGTATTTGATTCCCTTTTTTGATTGATTATATTCTTTTTAAAATAAGGGAACCATAGAAGAAGGTTTATTTTTTTTATGTCTACTTTTGCATTATAAATTAAATATTCTTTTTTTTGTTGTTGTCTTTTTTGTTCTTTTTTATTAGTTACTCTTTTTGTGTCAGCCTTGTTGTATGGATATAAACATATTTTTATTTTTCTTCTTTTTCTACTTGCTTTTTTCTTTGCCTAGAGATCTGCTATCTTTTTTATATTTTTTCCTACTTTTTGATATTACTATTGCTGGATATTTTTATTTTTACTTTTATTTTTTTCCGTGGATTCTGGATTACATATATATTTTTGGTTTTTTTTATCTCCTCTCTTCTGAGCTTTTTGGTGGATTATAACTGGCCATTGGGCCCTATCCCTGGATTACAATTAATTGGGCCATCGGGCTTGATGTTGGATTATAAATGAATACAACAAATATAATACAAGATAAGTGTTTCAAATTTGGCGAAAGGGGCGAGGAAGGGATCCTCTACTCCCGCATCAACCTCAGTTAGTCCAGCGCTTCAAAAATTGATTACAACTTTTTTACAGCCTGACACGCAGAAGGATACGCAAGCCATTCTCCAGGCAATTATGGACTCTAAAATGGAAATGAAAAAGGATCTTGCTTAAGATGGATCAAAAAATGGAATCCTTTCAACAGGCAATGTCAGACACTCAACAATGAATGCAAAATATTGAAGACAAGTCAGTAGTAGTAGACCAGAAGTTAGAGGCTCTCCAAGATGAAAATCAGAGATTGGCGCAATCCAACGCAGAGCTGGAAGAAAGCATGGCAAGGATGGAGCTAGAACGCGCATCACATTTTCTAAGATTCCAAAATGTGATAGAAGAGAGTGATGAGAACTTATTACTATTGATGACTGAACTATTGGCGGATCTGCTTGGAATGGAAACGGATGAAATTAAAAGAGAAGTCGATCAAGTTTATAGAGTGAATTCATATTATGCAAGAAGAGATAGAGTGCCCAGGGAAGTTCATGTTAGATTCAGCAAAAGAGCACTTCGGGATGAGATCCTGAGATTAGTGAGGGACCAACCTCTGAAATATAAAGATAAAGATTTGGTAGTTCTCAAACAGATCCCAAGAAGAATTAGAGAAGCTCGAAGAGAATACCAATTCTTAACGAGGAAATTGATCAG